AAATGGCGCCGGCTGGCTTCATGCAAATGAAGCCCGGGAAATTCAAATCCTGGGCTTCATTTGCAAGTGCGGATGACTACATTACCCCTGCTAGTTTGAACTAGCGGGGTAGTGTAGACATACCCTTGGTTGTGTAGACATGCCCTTTGAGGCAGGAGGCATGGGTAAAATCCTGACCTCACTGTACTCAAATGTCAGAACTCCCATTGCCTTCAAGAAGGCAGAATCCGCCCTCTCCCCCTTCAGATATATTTGTGTAGCACCCAGCAAAATGGGGCCTCAATCCTGATTTAGGGACATGCCGGGTCTGGCAGAAAATATGACACTTTTCAGCAGTCACATTCTACATTTCATCCTGCAAGCAGCATGCTTGCACAGAGTGCAAAGGCTAAATTTACCTCCAGAAGTAGAAGACAACATGCACCTTTCTCTAAATCCTTGTACAATATGTTCCCCGTTTATTAGAGATAAAAACTGTGGCTGGATCATTGTTCTTATCTATGATTTTGATGTTTACAAATCCATCCTATTGTATGTGTACAAAACAAGTGGCAAGAGACACAATCCTATAAGTTGACAATGTAAAATGTTCTCCTTGCTGAATACTCTCTGATTCAATTATTTAACTGTGACGTATATGGATGGGTTATCCTGCTGTCTTTTGGAGCCTCTAATTCAATTTTTTAGTCACACGTACATAAACAAAGGTTTCTTTTTCAAAGACCCTCATGTGTTGAAGTCTCAGGTGTTACATAGAAATTGACGTTCACTCTTTTGCTTCAGTCTTCTTGCTTTGATGTTAATCTGTATGTAAACTAAGTTGCAATCTTAATATCATGAAGGCATGCATATGATTCTGGGGTTTGACAGTAGGAATAAGCTAGTTAACTGGTTTATGTTGCTCATGTTTCCTATTTCAGCTAGTACACTTGGAATAAGACCCTAGGAGTATATTTGCCCCTTGAGGCACACACATAACTCCTACTAACTTACACCAAAGGTGGATAGTAGAATAAAAATAAAATAGTGTGGTAGTGATAGCACAACATGTCTTAATGGTCTGTGCAGCTCCTAGTTATTTAAACAATCTTTTTCACCCTGCTCCAAATAGAAATGAAGTGGGGAGGAAGGAAAGTACACGTTATTCCCGTGATTTTTCAACGTGTCACAAAGTCCTCTTGCCATAAAAATGCCATGAAGAAGCCCCCTATTAAGCAATAATTTTGTGTTTGTCATGAGAATTTTATTTATGGTGGATTTGAAAACACTAGGACTTCTGTTAGGAAACGCAATTTTTCGAGTTCTTATTACAAAATGAAAAACTATTCTTCACGTCTTTATTTACACAATTGCTGTTTGCTAACTCTGTGGTAAGTACTGTAGTGCCCCATTTATTGAATAACATGTACTGAGTTCATATATTGTTATAAAAATGGGACCCTTCATAGAAGTTGCCAATATGTGAAATGTATGTAATATATTAAATGGTGATGCTAAGTACATGGAATAAACAGTTGAGTGTCAAAATAATCTGTCTTTACAGGAAAACATAGTACAAACTTTGTGAGCCGATATGATCCCAGGTTTAACAGCTGGATCCAACTTCCACCCATGCAAGAGAGGTAAAAACCTGCTACACATTTTTCACTATTTCTTTTGTTGTCCTAAGAAGAGCTGAAGATTGGCTTGGTTCTGGAAGGGAGGCAATGCTGTAGAAGTAGTAAAGATGTTGAAGATAAAATCTCAGTGTATCGTTGTTTCTCTTTATGCTCCTAATTTTATTGAAGTATTCCAAATTCAAATATCGAAGGGTCAAATCCTTCAGTGCTGACTCCTGTAAAATTACCGTAATCTTCATGGGGGAGAGCTTCCTAAGTAAGCACTGCAGGATTGTGTCCTTTCTAAAGCCTCCAAAATATCCTGCAGAGTTTGTCTTTTTTGTTTTCTTGATGTTTGTTTGGTCATCGCCTCTCAGGCATATTGCATGAGCCAAACATCACCGAGGGTATGTCTACACTACAGCGTTAATTTGAGTTAACTTAATTCGAAATAGTTAATTCGAATTAAGCTAATTCGAAATAACACATCTATACACAAAAACTATTTTGAAATAGTGTTTTGCTATTACACTGAGTGGACCCTGAACCGAAGTTAAGGCTGGCCGGAACCAGTGCCAGCAGGGCATCAGGTTAGGACTTAGTGGGTGGGGCTGCTGCCTGAGGCTAACTGAGCTCCGTGCTTAAAGGGACCCTACCCCCACCCTGGACAGACAGTTCTCAGGGTTCCCCACTTGCTTTTCTACCTCAATGAGGGACAGCAAAACAATCCTGTCTTGGAGTGCCCTGAGTGCCTGCACTCAGGACACCACAGCACTCGGCCACATGGAGCCAGAGTCTTGTAGGGTCATTGCCATCAGCCTGGCTGCACTTGCTGGTGTCAATCGGGGGCTGTCAGGAGGCCCTGTGGGAGAGCATCCACCCCGAGGAGCCCTCAGAACCACCTCACCCACCCACCGGGGGCTCGTACCTCACACACCGGGGGCTCGTACCCCATTCCTCCCTCACGTCCTTCCACTCAACCCCTCCCTAGCCCCCCTTTCTGATGTCAAAAGACACGTTTTTTCATAAACATGAGCTGTCTTTATTTAACAAAATTTGGGACGGGGAGTGAAACTCCCTCACGTCCTTCCACTCAACCCCTCCCTAGCCCCCCTTTCTGATGTCAAAAGACACGTTTTTTCATAAACATGAGCTGTCTTTATTTAACAAAATTTGGGACGGGGAGTGAAAGTCTGGGGAGACTGGGAAAAGGAGGCGGGAGACGGGAGGTGAGAGGGTGGGAGAGGGGAGGGGGAAAACTGTGAGGAAGGATCTGGTAGAGGGAAGCAAGGGAAGGAAGTGGGAGGGGAAGCTCAGTGCTCAGGGGTGGGGGTCTCATCAGGCCACGTGTCTCCCAACACGGCAGGTGCAGGGGCCTCGGCGTCCCCGGGGGGATGGGGTGGAAGGTGTGGAGGTTGAGGTGGGGGTGTGGGGATTGAGGAGGAGGTTGAGGAAGGAGAGGTGGGGGGACAGGAGTGGGAAGAGGAACAGTAGCCTGGGTCAGGGCCCTCTGGTCCCGACTCACTGCCCCCCGGGGTGGCGCGGACCGTCCCGCCCCCCAGGATGCAGTCGATCGCAGGGAAGTAGGGGCAGGTGTCAGCCCCTGCTGTGGCGCCACCCCTGGTGGCCCTGGCGAACCCCTGCCGCAGCTCTTTAATTTTCAGGTGCACCTGCTCCTGGTGGCCTTTCTGGGCCATGGTGGCTGCTATGCAGCCATAGACGGCCGCATTCCTCCGCCTGGTGCAGAGATCATGGACATTGGGGGGCCTCCCCCCAAACCTCTATGAAGTCCATGATCTCCATACCAGTCCAGGAGGGCGCATGCCGTCTACAGCCCCTGGCTGGCCCCTGCATGCTGGGGGACTGGGCGGGGGAAGGCTCGCTGGCACTGGCTGCCTGGCTCATTATGGGGCCAGAGTCTACCCCTTTAAGGGCTCCGGGGCTGGGGGAGAGGAGAGGAGTTTTCCTGCTTTGGCCCAGAGTGGCCACCAGGGGAAACTGGGAAGGGCTGGAGGCCAGCTAATTCGAATTAAGTGTCTACACAGCACTTATTTCGAATTAGCTATTTCGAATTTGGTGTTACTCTTCATAGAATGAGGTTTACCAAATTCAAATTAAGCACTCCGCTGTTTCGAATTAAATTCGAAATAGCGGTTTGCATGTATAGATAACAGCTGTTATTTCGAATTAAATTTGCAGTGTAGACATATGAGTGTGCAGTAGACACAGGACAGTTACAATATAATGTCAGTTATAGACAACAGAAACCTGGAGATCCCAGCCCTCCTTTGAGAATGGAGAGTATCAGACAGGAAGGGTTGAGTCAGTCAGTCACCCCTTTCATGTGAGGGAGGGGTGTGTGTGTGTGTGTGTGTGTTACTCCAGCAATTCAAAGATAGCCTAAACTTGACTTAGCTATCCAGAGCAGCCCCGCTCCTCTCTGCTCTTGATCTGCTGGCAGGAGTTGCAAATTAGAGCAGCCTTTGTGCTACTCTGATGGGCTATGTCTACACTATCCCCTTCTTCGGAAAGGGCATGCTAATTTTGAACTTGGGAATAGGGAAATCCGCGGGGGATTTAAATATCCCCCGCGGGATTTAAATAAACATGGCCGCCGCTTTTTTTCCGGCTTGGGGAAAAGCCGGAAAAAAGCGTCTAGACTGGCGCAACCCTCCGGAATAAAGCCCTTTTCCGGAGGATCTCTTATTCCTACTTTGAAGGAAGGAGGATCTCTTATTCCTCCTTCCTCAACCTCCTCCTCAATCCCCACACCACCACCTCAACCTCCACACCTTCCACCCCATCCCCCCGGGGACGCCGGTAACCCTCATTTCATGAGGAGTAAGGGAAGTCGAAGGAAGTGTTCTTCCTTCAACTTTCTGCTGTGTAGACAGCACCTAAAGCCAAGGTAAGCTATTTCAACATAAGCCAAGAAATTTCACCCAGCTCTAGTGGGTATCATACTTGCCATAGCCAAGTACATTGTAGTTTGTCGGGATGTAAGGGCAGAATTTGGACTGTTCTGGAGTACATTGGCACTGTATTTCCATATTTAGAAATACCTGGGATACTTTTTCCTGACTTTCAGATAATTAGGACAGCGGTGTTCTAATGAGGGCTATCAAGCTATTTTTACACAAACTGTGTTTACAACCTTAACTCAGTTTGAATAAAGATTTTGTTTCTGGGAGTTATATAAGATTTGATCCAGAAAACTAACAGTTTTGTGATGGGGTCTGATAGGCATCACTTTAGGGTTCCGCAAAGATAGGGGTTTTTCTGACAGAAACACCTCATACACTGTGGCAAACTCCATTATAATCATGTAAGAAGTGCCTGGATATATGCAGATCACCCAGTGAACTTTGACGTTGGCCTCTTTTCTTAGGGATTTTGAAGTCTGATCTAAATCCTCACTAGATCTTATGGGAGCAAAAGTCCTGCCTGTTGCCAACTCTTTACATTGCTGCCAGAGTGCTGCAAGCTCTAGGGAGTATTAAAGGCGGGGGGTAGTGCCAAGGGCCCACTGCCTTTAGCCCCACCCTTTGTGCCCTTGGCCCTGCCCTTTCCAGGCACCTTGCCCAGGGGCCCCATGGAGGCTGTCGGCTGTGGTGTTTCGCCTACATGTGTATCCAGACTTAAGGAATGGCAACAAGTGAGGCTTATTTGGATGAGAAAAGAGCCTTCTCATAGCTCAGAAAGGAGAAGGGTGGAATGGTGAAAGGAGGCAATAGTAGGACATCTGCGAGCCAGCTCAGTAGCACTAAAAACAGCGGAGAAAGTTTATATTTGTGTGTGCCTTAGTGTGACCTTAACTTTGTGTGTTGTATCGAGCAATATGCCAGATTTGCATGTGGTGCACTCACTGGTTTTGTGATATGAAAGAGAGCGAAATAAACTTCAGATGATCTGAGGAGGTGATGTTTGGATCTTGATTAGGAATGGGATTTAGATTTGAGGCAGAATCTGAGTTTAGTGATGAAATATTATGAGTTGTTCCTGTGGAAATTGGGCTAAAAAATGTTGGAAATCTTGTGGGGTTTTAACTACGTCTGAACCAAGAGGTCCTGACTGTTTTGAGTATGACCACAGGACCAAAGTCATAGAAATCTGAACTATCTGAGAACTTGAAGCTGTCCTTTGGCCCCTAGGTTGTAGATTTGACCCATCTCTTCAGCAAACCTGCATAGTAGTTTCTTTGCTAGTTGCCTTTAGTGGTAGAGTGACATATTCCATAGGCAGCGTCAAGATAATTATTAAAGTACTTAGAGGCTTTCAGGGCCTGATACAGCACCCATCAAAATCATTTGGAAGACTGCCATTTGCTTCAGTGGGCATTGGATCAAAGCTCCTAGTGAAAGTTAGTTTTAGTATGTGGTGAGTTTTTACCAAGAACTATAAATCCTCTGGAGCCTTCTGACTGCTCAGTGTTTCCCCATTACTATGGTGATAAATTAATTGTTCAAAACAGTTAGTAGCTTACAATATTACAAAAAAAATGTAAAATGTAATGCTCTAATCGTAATTGTTCCTTTTGCTGGGAGCTTTAGAGTGAGATAATTAACCATTACCCCTTCCACTCAGGATTCATAACTCAGCCAATGGTCAGTTATCTCTGGATAGAGCCTCCGAGGACAGAAAATGTAGTTAGGGATTTCTAAAAACATGTGTTGTTATGTGTTAGACTGTAATGACTTCCTCAGAGGTACTACAACCTTTTCCATCACGTTCTAACAAGACAGGCTTTAGGAGACAATTTGTCTGATTACAGAACTGCAAAGCAGTCCAACCTCCACTCCTTACTCTGGCAAAATGCTTGGTAAAGTCAATAGAGAAACAAGGTGGGTGAAGTAGTATCTGTTATTGGACCAACTGCTGCTGGTGAGAGAACTTTTGAGCTCTTCTTCAAAGTCAGTGAGCTTTTTTTCCCAAGTAAAGAGTGCAGGATTAAGCCCTATATCGTCTGTTTAATGGATTCTTATGACTCATTATGGTCCATCAAGTCAAGACTGATATAGGGATTT